GGAATATTTTGCTTGCATACTTTAAGAATATACCTTTAAAAAGGATAGGGCATAAATGAAAAATATTACTGATAATCACCTTGCTGTTTGCAGTAGCATAACTGTATTCTCTCCTTCATATGTTGGAGAAGGAGAATAATCAGCATAAAGTTGAGGTAGACCACTGGCAGCTGAGTAGCCATGACCACCACAACTTAATCTGCACAACTATATATAGGAAAAACCATCATGATGAAGCACATGTAATTACACAATGCAGTCAGGATTTCCTACAAAATTTTTGGCATAGTACTAAACTGGATTTTAAAGTTACAAAAAGATTGGCAAAATAACATATACTATACAGTGTATTTTTTTCAAAAATCACTATGAGAGAATTTTCTAATCATACATTTTCTAGCATGCATACATGTTCTTGTGCTGTATGCATGGAAATCTGCTTCTAATAAAAATGACTAGAACAAATACTTAATTTGTATAATTTTTCTGATACATATACATGCTTTTTGTTGTGTAGCAAGTTTGAGCTGATTCCAATCAAAATTGGATTTTTATGAGTTTTCAAAGTTGCTCCAAAGCCATGTACATACATGTGTATTATAGTGTTTGTCAGCTCATGAAGGAAACTGTTTAGCTTATTAAGCATGCTTTATGGGAAAACCATGAATAATTATAGTACCTCAATAGCACTGCAGCATAGCTCACTGCAAAATGCTTTCAAACCAGCACTAGTAGCATGAAGCTAGAAAGAAGGCATTAATAAATATTGAAATATATCAATAATATATACCTCAGGTAGAGATTTTAAGTTTCCTTCACTAATTTCTTCAGTCACTTCAGTGTTAAGTTTCATCAAGTATTGGTTAGCAAACTTCATAGCATAAGCAGAGGCCAATACAGGAAACAGCTTAAACTGTTGAGTTTGATAATCCAATACTTGAGTCTCTGGTTCACTAAATTACAGATACATTTAAACAATAACTGGGCGAAGCCCACTAAGATGAGAAAAAGTCTGTACGGGCAGGTTATCTAACAATTAAAGTTAAATAGTCTAATCTTCATTTTTGAAAGCAAGTATGGTCATAATGAAATAATTTAAATGACAGCTTTCAGAAAGCCTATGCTCTTTTGCAGCAAACTTTCAGCAAGATAGGACAAAACTACTGTCCAAAAACTTTTCCAGCAGCAGGAAGGGTCACTACAGCACAACAATAGCGTGACTTGGGTGGAAGGGTGGAGCCCCTTCAAATGTTTTACATTCTTCTAGTAATTATACTGGTACAGTCAATTGTACACTAATCAGTTTAAAAATAATTAATTGGCTTGCACTGACTAGCCGCTACCTCAGTAAAGTGAATGTGTGTGTGGGAGGACAAGGTTGGGAGTAAGAGTTAATATAGTTTTTTTAATAGTATGTTATTGGAGTTACGTTCTTCTAAAAAAATATACTGGCACATGCACATGGCATTGCCCAACTGCTACAACTGTTACACCTCGTAGGAGGTGCTTATTTGCTTTAAACATAATTTATACAGACATAGTTATGACATGTGGCTAATTAGTGGTATTCTTGCATGGCTTCCTCCAAACCTCATTCATATCATTAACAAACAGAAAAACACAGGGCCAAAATGCCTCCCTGCCCCCCCCCAAGTTACTAAGGTTATTATCATACAATTAAGATCTTACCCAGGTCTATTTCGTGTTTGTCTCCTCACAACACTGTATCTTATTGCTATGGTAATAGCTCTAGCCAGAGATTTTGCTGAATGATCAACAATAAGTGTCCTTGTACGAACCATAACAGCATATACAATTTTATCAGCTTCGGCTGGAGGCTTTGAGTATGTACCATCTCGTGATACCTACATGAATCATCTTCCACTCTCAATGTCTTTTTCTATACTTCATACCTGAGCATATTTCATTAGCATGTGATCTCTTGGTATTCTCACATTTGTCATGTGGAGGAAACCATTGTCCATACCAAAGTATCCAAACTTTGGTCCAATGTCACCCACCTTTATTCCTTTAATTATAAATGATGAAATGCTTTAGTTATAAATTTAATACCTGGTAATGGCTTGT